TCGCGATACATTTTCGTAGCACCTAAATGAATGGAATACTGAGAAGTGTGTGCCTTCTCTAGAATCCTCTCCGTCAAGACATCAACATTAGGACCACATAGACGATGCTAGAGTCGCGGAACACCATCCTCACCGATAGAACCCTCCTTCGCAGCACCCTGTAGTAAACCGTCTCTCTGAGAACCATCAAGTGCGGATCATCAAACTGTCAAGCCTTGATCTGCTTCAATAGTAAAGACTGGGAAACGACGCATGCAAGAACTCGGTTGGGCTCTGAAATATCCAACCTCACAAGTCTGTTAGCAAAGGACTGAATGTCCAAAGCTAGTGACCTCTCCTCTACTGAAATGAATGCCAGGCTACCCATACTCTCTGCCATTCCGCTCATGGCATCTGCGAGCACATTCGCCTTGCCCGAATGATAAAGAATGGTGATATCATAATCCTTCAGTAACTTAAGCCATCTGCGCTGCCTCAAATTGAGATCCCTTTGCTTGCAAAATGGTGCAAGCTGCGATGATCAGTGCAAACCTCACAGGACACCCCATAAAGATAATGCCTCCAGATCTTAAGAGCATGAACAATCGCGGCCAACTCCAAATCGTGCATAGGATAATTCTTCTCGTGGGGCTTCAGCTGACGTAAAGCATATGCAATAAGTCACCCCTCCTACATCAATACATAACCCAAACAAACGTGTAAAGCATCGCAATACACAGTATACATCCCCGAACCGAAAGGCAACACTAGAACTGGTGATATAGTCAAAGCTGTCTTGAGCTTCCGGAAGCTCGCCTCACAATCATTGTACCAGCGGAACGGAACACCCTTTTGGGTCAATATGGTCAAAGGTGATAAAATAAATTAGAAGCCCTCCACAAACCGGTGATAATAACCTGATAACCCCAAGAAGCTCCTAATCTCGGTCGCCGTAGTTAGACGAGGCCAAATCTTGACTGCCTCAATCTTCTTGGGATCCACCTTAATACCCTAGCTTGATACAACATGCCCCAAGAAGGTTAAAGAATCTATCCAAAACTCACCCTTGGAGAACTTAGCATATAGCTTCTGTTCCGGCAAAGTTTGAAGCACCACTCTCAAATGTTGTTCGTATTCCTCCATGTTGCACGAGTAGATCAAAATGCCATCAACAAAGACAATGACAAACGGATCAATTTTTATGGCCTGAAAACCCTGTTCATCAAGTCCATAAACATCGCTGGGGAGTTAGTCAAGCCGAAGGACATCACTAGAAACTCATAATGGCCATATCTAGTATGAAAAGCGGTCTTCGGAACATCCGAGTCCCGAATCTTAAACTGATGGTAGCCGAATCTCAAGTCGATCTTAGAGAACACCCTAGCACCTTGAAACTAATCAAACAAATCATCAATACGCGGCAACGACTACTTGTTCTTAATGGTAACTTTGTTCAACTGGCGGTAATCAATGCACTTCCGCATGGTCCCATCTTTCTTCTTCACAAATAAGACTGGTGCACTCCAAGGTGATACACTTGGTCTAACGAACCCCTTTGTTAGAAGCTCCTCAAGTTTCTCCTTCAACTCCTTCAACTCTTTCGGAGCCATACGGTACGGTGGAATAGATTTTGGCTGGGTAACAGGATCCAAATCAATGCAAAGATCAATATCACGATCTGGTGGCATGCGTGGAAGATCAGAAGGAAACACATCGGGAACTCCCAGACTACTGGTACTGAATCAATCATCAAAATCTCTACGGTGGTAACCCGAACATAAGCTAGATAAGCCAAACAACCCTTCTCGACCATATGTCGAGCCTTCAGAAAAGAGATAACCTGACTAGATATACTCACATATGAACCCTTCCACTCCAACCTACGCAACTCGGGCATCGCCAAGGTAACAGTCTTGGCATGGCAATCAAGGATGGAGTGATATGGGGATAGCCAGTCCGTGCCCAAGATGACCTCAAAGTCGATCATATCAAGCAACAGAGGATTTTCTCTAGTCTCGTAACCACAGAATGTAACCATACTGGACCGATAGATCCGATCCGCAACAACTGAGTCGCCCACTGGAGTGGACACATAAATAGGAGTACCCAAGGACTCACGAGGAATATCCAAGAAATGCGCAAACAGAAATAATGCATGTGGTCACGGCATCTGAGGCCACTGCAACTGGTCTGGCCGGGAAAGCATAGAATCTGGCTAGAGTGCCACCTGGCTGGCCTCCACTTGCCTAGAATCCACCTCTAGGACGACCCCTGCCCACATGCCCTCCGCCTCTGGGCGGCTGGATGGCTGGTGCTGCTACTGGTGTCATAATCATGGGTTGCTGACCCTGCTGCACTACCTTGCCCCTAAGTCTGGGACAAATCTCTTCATGTGTCCAGGATCCCCACACTCCTAACAACCCCTCGGAGTAGTGGACTGCTTTTTTGAAGTTTGACCCTAATGGCCTGAATACCCACCGGAGGAACCCTGAATAACTGGTGGACGGTATGAACTCTCTGGCATAGCACTGATATAAGGTCGCGCTAAAGTAACCTAAGGAGGTGGTGGTGCTGGATATGTGGGCCTGCTAGGCTGACCCCTCCCAAACTGACCTCTGCCCCTAGTCTGGGCACCTCTAAACTCTCCAGAAAAACGGAACCGCTTGTCCCGCTGCATCTTCTCTCTACCTCGCAGACGATAACCCTCAATCCCCCGGGCTATCTCCACAACCAGCTGATAAGAAATACCCATCTCGACCTCTTGGGCCATAGTGGCATGAATACTGGAGTGCAATCTTGCAACAAACCTCCGTACTCTCTCACCATCAGTAGGAAGTATCATAAGTGCATGGCGAGACAACTCAGAGAATCTTGCCTCATAGCCGGTCACTGACATCTGAACCTGCTGAAGCTGCTCAAAATGAACCACAACTCTTCCCTATGGGAGGGTGGAATAAACCTATCCAAGAAAAGGCGTATAAACTGATCCCAAGTCATGGGAGGAGAACCATCTGGTCTACCGAGAAGATGTGACTGCCACCACCTACGGGCCCTGCCCTCCAACTGGACAATAGTGAAATCCACCCCCATAGGACTCCACTATACTCATGTTGTGGAGTCTGTCCCTGCACCTATCAATAAAGTCCTGTGGATCCTCATGTTGCTCACCCACGAAGATAGGAAGGTGAAGCCTGGTCCATCTGTCCAATAGCTTCTGCGGCTCACTGACCACAGATGGTCTAGGCCCAGGTACAGCTGCTGTAACTGGCTGGGCTCCGCCCACAGGTAGTGCACCCGAGGTCTGATATATGGCAGCTGCAAGCCCCGGAGCCTGGGCAGTAGGGGTGTGTGCCTCCCCTCCTGCCTGAGATGTGGCTGAGTCCACCGAAAATAAATCCCCTTGAGTCATAGTATCGATGAACCACAGCATATGGCCCATGACCTCCTAAAGGCCCCGTGCTGACATGAAATCTACCTGGGTTGGCTCTGCTACGGGCACCTCGCCCTGCTCCTCAACAATGGGATCCTCTAATGGATCCGCTGGTGGTACAACTAGGGAAACTCTAGGACATCCTCGTCCCCTACCTTGGGCCGGTGCCCTCCCCCGGCCTCTGCCTCGGCCTCTAGCAACAGGGGGAGCAGCCCCTCCCGGGTCTAGAACGTCTGTCGTGCGCGTTCTCACCATCTGTGAGAGAATAAGAGGAAGAAACTTAGTACACCATCAACTGCAAGATAGGAAATGAACAAAGAGTAGTTTCCTAACACCTTATAGCCTCTCAAAGATAAGTACGAACATATCTGCACCGATCCGCAAGACTCTAGTAGGCTTGCCCATAACTTGTGAAACCTAAGTGAACCTAGTGCTCTGATACCATGTACTCACAACCCAATTCTATTATAGGTCGTGATGGCACCCAGCGCCGCTGCTAGCAAGCCAACAGTGAACTAACACGTGATTTCCCTTTTTAATAAATTGTCAAGTAGTTAAACATTCCTTAATTTTTAAAGATTTAAGAAATGACAGATTTCAAATAAATAAAACGAAGCAACTAAGTGCAATTATAACCATAGAAATGAACCTAAAACCCCAAGTCTACTAGTGTGTGCCAAGACTTGATGTCACAAGTATACGAGCATCTAGTAGAATATACACAAGAATATTAGTCTACTATCTGAAGTGAAATAGACAGAAAACACAAGAAGAACCCTCAATCCTCCGGGCTATCTCCACAACCAGTTGATAAGAAGTACCCATCTCGACCTCTTGGGCCGTAGTGGCCTGAATACTGGAGTGCAATCTTGCAACAAACCTCCGTACTCTCTCACCATCAGTAGGAAGTATCATAAGTGCCTGGCGAGACAACTCAGAGAATCTCGCCTCATAGCCGGTCACTGACATCTGACCCTGCTGAAGCTGCTCAAAATGAACCACAACTCTTCCTTATGGGAGGGTGGAATATACCTATCCAAGAAAAGCCGTATAAACTGATCCCAAGTCATGGAAGGAGAACCATCTGGTCTGCCGAGAAGATGTGACTGCCACCACCTATGGGCCATGCCCTCTAACTGGACAGTAGTGAAATCCACCCCCATAGGACTCCACTATACTCATGTTGTGGAGTCTATCCCTGCACCTATCAATGAAGTCCTAGGGATCCTCATGTTGCTCACCCCCGAAGACATGAGGGTAAAGCCTGGTCCATCTATCCAATAGCTTCTGCGGCTCGTCGACCGCAGCTGGTCTAGGCCTAGGGACAGCTGCTGTAACTGGCTGGGCTCCGCCTACAGGTAATGCACCCAGGGTATGATATAAGGCAGTTGCAAGCCCCGGAGCCTGGGTAGTAGGGGTGTGTGCCTCCCCTCCCGCTTGAGATGTGGCTGGGTCCGCCGGAAATAAATCCCCCTGAGTCATAGTATCGATGAACTGCAGCATATGGCCCATGACCTCCTAAAAGCCCGGTGCTGACATGAAATCTACCAGGGTTGGCTCTGCTACGGGCACCTCGCCCTGCTCCTCAACAATGGGATCCTCTAATGGATCCGCTGGTGGTACAACTGGGGCAACTCTAGGACATCCTCGTGCCCTACCTTGGGCCGGTGCCCTCCCCCGGCCTCTGCCTCGACCTCTAGCAACAGAGGGAGCAGCCCCTCCCGGGTCTGGAACGTCTGTCGTGCGCGTTCTCACCATCTGTGAGAGAGTAAGAGGAAGAAACTTAGTACACTATCAACTGCACGATAGGAAATGAACAAAAGAGTAGTTTCCTAACACCTTATAGCCTCTCAAAGATAAGTACGAACATCTCCGCACCGATATGCAAGACTCTAGTAGGCCTGCCCATAACTTGTGAAACCTACATGAACCTAGTGCTCTGATACCATGTACTCACGACCCAATTCTATTATAGGTCGTGATGGCACCCAGTGCCGCCGCTAGGCAAGCCAACAGTGAACTAACATGTAATTTCCCTTTTTAATAAATTGTCAAGTAATTAAACTTTCCTTAATTTTTACGATTTAAGAAATGACAGATTTCAAATAAATAAAACAAAGCAACTGAGTGCAATTATAACCATAGAAATGAACCAAAAACCCCAAGTCTACTAGTGTGTGCCAAGACCTGGTGTCACAAGTATACGAGCATCTAGTAGAATATACACAAGAATAATAGTCTACTATCTGAAGTGAAATAGACAGAAAACACAAGAAGAACCAAATCATTTTCCTCATTTAACCATTTAACCTATCAGGCCAAAGAAACAATATCAAATATAGTAGGGTTTTCAATATTATCACGCACGAATTATGCCGAGGACGTACGGCCCGATCCAAATATACATAAACATAAACTGTGAGCACTGCCGAAGGTCGAAAGGCATGAACCATAGATGCATTTATTAAACTACCGAGCCGAACGACCCGCTCCCATGAGAGTAGTGAAAATTTACCCTGCTCGCGGAATATACTTGCGACGCGGTTGAACATAGATTTCTCAAGTTATCATAATATCCCTCAATTCTTTCCAAAATAAGAAATTCAACTAGAAACTTTTAAATTCTCAAAATCCTCAACCTCGGCTCTATTCAAGACAATTAATAAGCATAATCAAATAACAGTGTCAATAAGGCATGGTGTAAACCTAAAACTACCCGGACTTAAGCATGAATAGTAGCTACGTACGGACTCTCGTCACCTCATGCGTACGTAGACCCCCTCAAATAGAAGAACATATTAATTTAGTTCACCTATGGGGTTAATTCCCTCTTACAAGATTAGAAAAGAGACTTACCTCGTCTCAAAGCCTACTTTCCGGTCCAAGATTGTGCTAAATCCCCAAATTCTGCCAACGACTTGAAACTAGTCAAATATTATATAAAATAATCAATACATGCTCAAAAGTTCATATCCAAGCTATCAAAGAGATTGCACAAGCCTATTTGAAGAATCCATAAAATTCACCGTCGGGGCCCGCGTGCCCAAATTTCGAAAATTTTTGAAGAAAGTCGTTACCTAACCTCATGAACTAAAATAAATGAGTCTTAATAAATTCCATAACAAATTTCATGTTAAATCTTGTTTTTATCAAAAACCTAGGTTTTCACCTAAACCCATGATTTTCACTAATTTACATGTTATAATCTACCCATAAGCTATGTATTTAACTCACATTTGATAGGAATTACTTACCTCAATTAGTTGATGAAAATTCCTCTCTAACCAGCTCCAAAATCGCTCCCAAAAAGTGTAAGAAATGAGCAAAAATGCCTAAGTCCCGTATTTAAAACACCCTCACTGCCCAGCGGTTCCCGCGCCTGCGAGGCCATTGCTGCACTTGCGGTTTCGCTTCTGCGGGGAAAACCTCGCAAGTGCGATTTTCCCCCAACTAGCCAACACTCGCACCTGCGGAGCTGGGGCCGCTCCTGCGCAACGGCTTCTGCGATCGCTTAGCGCCTGCGTACACTGCCGCTTATGCGGTCATAGCCATCGCACATGCGCATTCGCAGGTGCGCTAAACCTCTCGCTCCTACGGATTCTGGACAGCCTTCTCTTGTCCGCTTTGCGGCTCGTTGATAACTAGGGATTCTAGTTTATTTTATACTCCTTTTTGCTTGAGTTTTAGATTAAAAATGTATACAAGTAATCCCGAAAGCTTACATGTTGTGCTTGTTTGTAGTGTTTGGTCAAAAAAGTGACAAGAAGTCAAAACCAGCTCAAAAAGGAGTGAAACCTGCACAAGTGCCAAGAACAAGTCAAATCATCGCTGCAGCATAAAATCCACTGCGGCTGCAACAGACCCACCGCGGCCGCATCTATTTAGTGTGGTCCGCAGTGGCAAAGATAAGAGAGAATGCTATTTTGGAAGTCCAAGCCACGCGGTCCACGGTCGATTCTTCGCGGCCGCGGTAGCCTCATCGCGGCCGCATTCCATTTGTTGTGGTTCGCGGAAAAGAGATTCAGAGAATGTGAAGTTTGTACGATTCAAGACATCGCGGCCGCATTCCATTTATTGCGGTCCGTGGTGAAGCCACCGCGGCCACGGTCCATTTATTGCGGTCCACGGTGGCTGGATTCGGAGAACAGAAAATTGAAGCTAAAAGCCCCATCGCGGCCGCGCTCCATTTCTTGCGGACTGCGATACCTCCATCAGGGGTATTTTTCTCCAAAAAATTCGGCCTTGTATAAATACTTCTTTTTCAGATTTTTAGGGTATCTTTATCTTAGCTGAGCACGTGAAGGCTGTTTTGGACCTATTTTGAGTAATTTTGTAGCTAGTTCAACATTGAATCTTTAAATCTTAGCTTGTAATTGTATTATATGGGTTATTCTTCATCTAAATATCTAATTTTTTTCATTATTATGAGTAGCTAGACCCATTAGCTAGGGTTGTGGCTCAACCCTAATATGGGTATTTGATGGGTCTTTTGTTTTAGGGCTTAGATGTTTATGGGTGGTTGATATTTGGACTGATTTGTGTTTTCCATGTTGAATTAGTGGTTGCAAACACTAATTTGTTCCTTTTTGATTTGGGCTCTTCTTGAGAAAGACAGCTTGAGTCTAGGAAAATCAGTCCAACAAGGAATTGGGGCGTATTCAAGAGATTGATAGCCCCAAATAAAGGGTTAAATCTAGAGATAGTAATACCCGACTTGAACCTATATTGCTTGCACAATTTTGACACCCAATTGGTCTTGAGAAAGTCAATTAGGGCAAAGCCACTCAAGCTACCGAGAGGTATAGAGTGAGTAGTGTCGTGCATTGGCTATATCGCGATCCCAATCATAACAATTTGCCTTAAGCTTTAGAACCCATCAAGTATTCACCTAGGAGAAAGTCACTTCCCTCGTGCCTCGTTAACCATTTAGAAAACCTTACAAGCATTTATACTTAGCTTACTTCCGCACATCATTAGTATAAAATTAGAAGTAACAAACAAACAATTATGATTGGAAGTGTAATCAACAGCACTACACACTGCTAGTTTAGATAGGAATCCAACTCCAAACATTCTAGCTCCCTGTGGATTCGATCCCGACCTTCTCGGGTAAAAGCTGCATCGATCGCTCTTGCCACTTTGTAGTGGTGCAGGGTTGGACCCGATAACTCGTGGCTCGAACCTGCGAGCTCACACCTGCGGCTGGCCAAGAGCAAGCGCAGGTGCGATTACACCAGCAGTTGGGAGCTTCAACTGTTGCTCCCAAGTCCTAACTTGGTCCGAGCCTCGTCCGACTAACACCTAGGGCCCTCCAGGCCCTGCCCGAACATACCAACAAGTTTGGAATCATAAAACGGACTCGCTCGAACTCTCGGAACGCCCCAAACAACATCAAAACTAAGAATCACACCCCCAAACCAATTGAATCAAACATATGATCTTTAAGTTCTTCAACTTACTCCCAATAAATTAAAACATACTTAAACTACTCAGAATGACACCAATTTTTGCGTGCAAGCCTTAAATGATATTACGGAACTATTTCCGGTCTCAGAATTCCATTTGGACCTCGATATCACCAAAACCTACTTCAAACCAAATTTAAAGAACTTCAAAGACCTTCAAAGAATTAACTTTCACTATTAGGCACCGAAATGCTCCCGGGTCATCCAAAACCCGATCCGAACATACGCCCGAGTCTAAAGTCATCGTACGAACCTAGGAAATGTCAAATCCTAATTCCGAGGTCGTTTGCTCAAAATGTTGACTGAAGTCAAACTTGGCTTTTTTAGCCAACCTTAAGGAACCAAGTGTTCCGATTTCGACCCGAACCCTTCCAATTCCCGAACTAACCATCCCCACAAGTCATAAAACAGTAAAAACACATATGAAATCTTCTTTAGGGGAACAGGGTTCTAGAAAGTAAAACGACCGGTCGAGTCGTAACACTAGTCCCCCAAGGAAAAGAAAGTGCCTCAAAGGATTGGCAAAGTGTGATCCGAGAAATGAAAAATAGAGTGGTTAAGGAAAGGTTTAACCATTCAACCATATTGTATCCAACCCTAATCCAAAAGCCTTCATTACATCCCAAAAGAATTCCTACTTGATTTTAAGCCGAGTGAACTTACATTAGTGGCGATCTACATGAGGGGCAAGTCTATGGTACTTGAAGCCGTCCTTGCGACATTTTCTTGAGAGAGATGAGTGGACCTTTCATAATTCTTTGGATTGAGTGCTAAATTTGTTAAGTGAGCCAAGCAAATTGAAAGTAGAGGAGGAAGAGTTTGGAGTCCACCATGACTTACATGATAGAGCAAGAGTCCTTGATGAGTAAAGTCAACTCTTGAAGCTAAAATGTCACATTAGAACTATATGTGCATGAATGTTTAACTTGTTGCCTTGTTGCTAATACATGAGTAGTGTGGGTAATTGTTGGTCCCAACTGATGTGTGGATGGCTTACCTTTGAGTCGCTGGAATGATCCTTAACTTTTGGAGGTGGGAACAAATTCATTTGCTTGAGGACAAGCAAAGACTTAAGTTTTGGGAAGTTGTTAAGTGGGGATTTTGATTGCTTATTAGCGTCTTTTAGGTTTTGTTTTAGTCTAAAAGCATTGAATTGTGTTCCCAAAACTAATGAAATTGGGCAAAATAGCAGGAATGCTAGAAGTTGGTCTCCCGAGATAAAATCTAAATAAAAAAGGAGTAGTCCGAAGCACAAGGCAATGAAGGGCGTCGGAGCACAAATGTGCGATCCGCAGAAAAAATTCTGCGGGCGCGGAAAAAATTGCGGACCGCAGAGTTCCATCTGCAGCCTCAAACCAAGAGGATGAACTAAGCAAAAATTTGCGCAAAGTGCGGACCGCACATGAATTGTGCGTCCGCAAAGCTAGGCTAAGAGTCGAAGATCAGAGAGTATGCAAAAAAACAAAGTCCAGGAGCCTCTGTGAATTGCGGACCGCACAAGATTAGTGCGGCCGCAGTCTTAATTGTGCCTCTTAATAGTGCGGACCACAGAAGAGTTGCCTTGCGACCGCAGTCCAAAAATGTGCGGCCGCAGAAGATTGCCTCGCGGTCATAGTTCAGAAATGTGCAGCCGCAGAACTCCAGTTCCTGCCAGATGAAGACATCTGCGGATCGCACATGGAATTGTGCGGCTGCAGAACCTCCCGAGGGGCATTTTTGTCCGAGATTTTCAGCCTTGTATAAATAAAAACCTTTGAAGTTGTTGTAGCCGTTTTTCTTTACTACTTTAGGAAGTTTTACATTTCTTTGGTGTATTTACATTAGATTTAATCATTTTAAGCTTCCATTATGAGTTTAATTAGTTTTTTTTCCTTATTTTCTTAAAACCCCATTATGAGTAGCTAGACTTTTACTAGGGTTGTTACCCAATCCTAGTGTGTAAACCTTATGGGTATCTAATTTAGTGCTTGTGTTGATTATTTAGCTAGATCATGCTTTAATTGTAGAATTAATGGTTGCAAATATTGATTCATGCCTATTTGACCTAGTCTCTACTTGCCTAGTCTAGGATAACTTAGGTAACAAGGAATTGGGTCAATTGAGAGATAGATTAACCCAATTAAAGGGTTCAACCTAGAGTTAGTAATAACCCGACTTGAGCTCTTATTCACTATTTTGGGCGATACCCATTTGGTCTTGAGAAACTCAAATTGGACAAAACCACTCTCTGACAGAGAGGTATTGAGTGGGTAATTTAGAGCTGAGAGCTATAATACACCCCAATCAACAAAAGAAGCATTAAAGTCTTTATCCCATTAGGCAAACACCTAGGTCATGGTCATAGTTCTAGCTTTTTTATCTATTTGGAAAAACCTTAAAAATAATAATATCTAGTCTTCTTGCTTTATTATGCAATTATTAAATTAACATTAGAAATAGAAAACAAAATCCTTGTTGTGGAAGTGCAATTTAGATAATCCAATTGCTCATTTGAATATATAGCCCTAACTCCCATCCTAGCTCCCTGTGGATTCGATCTCGACTCTTAGTTGCGTTTCTATTATTGCATACAACCGTTTTATATCTCTTTTGAGGTGTGCTTTGGACGTGATCATGAAGCAGGCCCTTGGTCTTGGGATTTTCTTCTCTGCTTCTAGTTCCAATCGACTCCAAGCATTTTGTGATGCTGACTGGGCCTCTTGTCCAGTCAGCCGAAGATCTATTATTGGATGCATTGTCAAGTATGGAGACTCCTTTATCTCTTGGAAAGTCCAAAAAATAATCAACCATTTCAGAAGCTCTATTTAAGCAGCGTGGAGAAGTTTGGCCACGACAGTTGCTGAGATAGTTTGGGTTTGTTGGCTTATTCAAGGAACTTAATGCCCCACTCCAACTACCAGCGCAAATGTACTGTGACAGCAAATCAGCTATTCAGATTGCTGCTAACCATGTGTTCCACGAGTGCACTAAACACATCGATATTAACTGCCACTTCATTCGTGAGAAAGTTCTTCAGGGACTTATGGAGACAGTTGACTTAGCTTCTGCTAAACAACAAGCTGATATACCCACTAAGGGGCTTAGCAGGCATCAACACCACTATTTGCTATCCAACCTAGGGATGAAGAACATCTTTATTTTTCCTAACTTGAGAGGGAGTGTAGAAGTATTAGACAATTGTACCAAGGTGCCTTAGGTGGTGTACCTTCACATTACTTAACTAGAGTTGCTATAGTTGTAGTTAGTTAACCATGGGTGGAGAATAGTTGTATATAACAGCTTTCACTGTATGTTAGCTTGAGCTCCCAATTTCCCTTCTCTACATTTCTCAGTCTATGGTGAATTCATCATTCTCGCTAAAGTTAACATTTGTCCTAATGAATAGAGTCAATCCTCACAATTGTAGATACCAATAATCTTAGTCTTTTTCGGAATCCCCAAGATTTCAATTGATCTCCACTTATTTCCTTCCAATCATATAAGAAAATCTTATCTAGCTTGACCCTTGAATTCATCATTGTGAACTCCTTGTCAGAAGCAGTACAACAAAATCGAGACACTATATATGGTTCTGGTACTAGTTAGCGTTGCTGGGGAATGACAAATTTAAGCGGCCGGCTAATTTATTCGCCTCTTTCATGACATTGTAAAATCCAAATTGTCATAAAATCATATATAGGAGTGGTTGCTAATTTACACTCAAGTTCTAACAATTTAAAAGAGCGTCCTATCTCGTCCAATTTACATCAACCACAACGAGATAATTCTGAAATCTTCAATTCTGACATTAAAGGCCAATACGTTAATTTCCAAGTGTTGTAGTCACGTATATATGTAGAAATAGACAACTCCATTGATGTAAAATCCTTCTAGCCTTAATGGGTTAAACTTGGTTATAGTGTCATTGTTGATCTCTCTCCATGTTGTTTCATTTAGAGTAAAAACTGTTGGACTTTAAAGGCTTTGAGCTTCAAAGACTTTAAGCATTGGGCTTTAAAGTATAAGAGTGTGAATTGGAAATGATGGGAAATAAAATGGAGGGAAATGAAAATTTGAATGAAGTGAGTTTTTGACTTGCACTTTGTCCCTCATTGGTGAGGGACAACTACATTTGTGTGCTTATATATAGAATCACTTCTTAAAGCCCTTAAAAGGAGTTGAAGAGAATGATCCCTCGCGCCGTTGTCGTCGCTCGGCTCGGCTTCGGCTTCGGCTTCGAATTTGTCAAATGATCGATAAGATTATTTTTGGACAAAATTTATTTAATTAATTATTTAATAATTAATTAAATGCCAGATCACTGCTGAAGATTCAGAAGGATAGTCTGGCCGCGGTCCTGGCGTAACCACGGTAGGACCGCGCCAGAACCCTGCTGCAGATTCAGAGGGCCACTCTGGCCGCGGTCCTGGCGTAACCGCGGTAGGACCGCGGCAGGCCGCGTAAACTTCTGAAAAGGCACCTTTTCCAGAACAAACATCACAACTCTTCCAATAATTGCCTATAAATTCTGAGTCATGGCTTCGTTTTTTACACACCAAAAACATTACAGAACTTCCTTCTTTCTGAAAATACTGCATTCTAATTCGCAGTCTTTCTCTCTCAAATTCGTAAGTATGATTTTGCTCCGTTCTTTAAGTTCGTTGGTATCCTGCAGTTTGTATTGCCACTGTTGCAGGAAGGTTTATTCCGTTTTATCCTGGGAGGATTTAATCCATTACCTTGGCAACGTGTGAGGGGGTTAAAATTCCTTAAGGACGCACAAGAAAATTGAGGACTCGGAATATTTCTTAATCTTTACTGTTTTTCCAATTTCTTTTATTCTTCTAACAGTTTTTTCTGATTTTGTGTTTTAACACAGTAGCAGCAACAAAAACCCAGCAACGTCTTGCTGATCACCTGGTCTGGATCATGAAGTTGAATCAGAATTTCGTGCTTCGTTCTATCGGGTCAAAACCAGGGGCGGATCTATTGTCCCAATTATGGGGCACATGAGCCCATGGTCTTACCGTCAAACTAGGTATTTTATGTACATATTTTTTAGAATAGTCTAATATTATCTTTTGGCACCCATGCTCTAAAAAGATTGAATGATGCGCTTGGTTGAATACTGGGTTATTGCCTTGAGGAACATGGATCAATTCTCACTCAATAGTTTTTTTTAGGTGCACCCATGTTCAACAAATCCTAGATCCGCCTTTGGTCAAAACATAGCGATAATGGCGATTTAGAAAATCTTCAGCAGTAATAATGATATGATGAGAATTCTGGGATTTCAAATAACTACAGGCCTCAAAGTTTTCAATCCATAAGCAAAATAAACCTTTAGCATACTCAAATTTGGAATAGCTCCCACCGTCCAATTTCTCGGCACGACGAATGGAGGCTTAAATTCAGTTTGGCTCAACCTCTACTCTATGGTTCAATAGTAACACACGACTAGAAATCCAGTAATTAGCGATCAAAAAAACCGATCAACTTTGGTCGGTTATGGTCAATTACCGATCAAAATACGACCAAATACGCTTGGATCATGGTCAAAAATTACCAACCAATGTTGGTCGGTAAATTAAATTCAAAAAAAAAAAAATATTGCAAAAAAAAAAACCGACCAAAGGTGGTCGATTTTTTAATTATGCAATCAAAAGATTCACCGTCTAGGAATCGAACTGGGTTGTCTACTGTGGCAGGATACTATTTTACCACTAGACCATTGGAGAATTTTGTTTTAAGGTTGTCTTTTTTTTTATTTATACTGTTTAATTGTATTTTCGCACGAAAATAACCTACCAAAGTTGGTCGATTCTATTAAAAAATAAAATTACCGACCAAAGTTGATCGGTTTTTTAAAATGACCGGCCGAATTTACAGACCAAAGTTGGTCGGTTTTTTTAATATTAATTTTTATTTATTTTAATTGCAAAACTTTGATCGGTTTCTTGAAAAATAAATTTCGCAGGACTCAAAAGTAGTTTCCCGCATTTTTGCGCCAAAGAAAACCGACCAAAGTTGGTCAGTTTCATAAAAAAAAAAATTAAAAATTAAAATATTTTGAAAAACCGACCAACTTTGATAAGTTTTTGGCCGGTTTTTTTACCGACCAAAATTGGTTGATTTTTCTTGGTCGGTTTTTGCTGAATTTCTAGTAGTGACACCTTGGACGCGCAACAAGAATTTGGTTGTATGGTCAGAAGAAAGAGATATATAATGACTTTGATGAACATCACAGAATAGGGATCCAACAAAATATTGTTAAAAACTCTGGAAGTGCACTTAAATCGCAATAAAGACTTGACAGGAAGTCTAAAGAATATATCAAACATAATATCTTCATCCTTCCACCGAGGAATAGGAAAGCCCTTATTGCTTGTTGCTAATGTTATGTAGCTTCCGTACGTACATCCAAGCATGCAGGTGCGGAGCTTGGCGGGCAGAAGGATTCTGCCAAACCTTCTTCTCAGAAAATTACATAAGGTCAATTTTTTATAAATATATATTAGATATTGACTCCTCTCTTCTTTGCTTTTTTAATCCCACGACCTAATGATATTGACAAATCACCACGACCTAATTGGCCATCCTTTTTCTTCTAGGACTTCTATTCTCTGTATTTCTCATATCTTTTATAGAATATATAACAAACCTAGGTTATAATATATATACTGTATATATACCTTATGGGGTAGGGTTATGTATGTATTAACTAGCCTAAGTGCTATCCGCGTATATTTTATGCCAAATATTATGACATTCTCATAAATAAACTTTTAACTGCACAAATACTTTAAAAATAATTGTTTGAATTTAAAGTAAACCTAAAATTTTAGTTTATTCTTCACGATATGATAAATAAATATTTGAGGGTATTTTTAAAATTCGTTAACGTTAACCGATGATAAATATGACCAATATTTGAAAGTATATGGGTAAATCTGACCCTTTTGCCAATAATAAAAGGAGAAGATGCAATGTAGATCCGACGAAGCAAGGCCGCCAATGATAGTGAGCAGGAGGATAAAGTAGCAAAAATTCAAAGAATATTCCAAATAGGAAGGCCGTTAATGAGGAAAAAATCTTTGAAGATTATATTAAACAATGAAATCGTTGTATATAACATCATATGAATACTATAATTTTGACCAATAAGGATTGTGGTGGAATGGTGAGTACTCGTTCATCCTGTATAGGGAAAAATATGATATGACACGTGGTCACCAAAAGGAAGGACACATGGAACCCAAGACGGAGATGGTCACCGAACGCAGCTACTTCGCTTATCACCAGGACAGAATGTTCATAAAGGTGTATTAAATGCTTTGAATCCTAGAACATTTAATAGAGAATATTCTGCAATATTAGGAACGGCAACCCATTACAAGGAATTTGGTATTTATTTCCACCGTTACACCTTCATCAATGGCCCTCATAATTAACATTAAAGGAGGGCACGATCCTAGGACCTCATTCCCAAGACATAACTATAAATAGAGAGCTCAGTTATCATTGTAAAGGAGACGAATTTTCTGGCAAACTTATACTACATTCTATACAAAGCTTTATATCATTTACTCTCTTGCTTTTTGATCTCATCATTGCTGTGACCGGAAGTCTTGCTCCCCGTATTGTCATTTTCGTTATTTTATCTACATTTTGAGGCTAAGTATCGTATTATTCTTTAATTGTTTTATTATCTCTGGATCAAATTAGTTCACTTGTGTATAAATCACGTACAAATTCAACTGTACCATTTCACGAGTAAACAGTTTGGCGCCCATCGTGGGGCCTAGACAGCCGTGAAATTAAATTGATCCTTGCAATTTTTTCTAACGTACCTTGATTGTTTTGTCTTAAAGAAAAAACATATGAAAAATGACAGATAATACCGTCAACAAGACACACAACCCCGAGATTCAAGGAGATCAGCCTAACTTTGAGAACTCAATCAGTGAAACTCGTAATGAGGAGAATGACACCATACTGGTTCATAATAGGCAGTATCCTCGACAAGTTCGGGAGACAACTCCCGATGATGCTGATGAGGAACATGTTGTTGATGCGGTAGGGGTTTTACAATAGCAACAGGCAATCATCCTAGGCAATCACGCGCGGCAAGATAAGGTTATGACGGAGTTGAAGCAAGCATTGTCGTGCTTCCAACAATGTAAACAGATGAGATCTAATTCCTCCCGGTGTACCCACAAACCAAATAGCGCAGAGGGTCGGCAACTACACTCCTAGGGGTGAGATTGGCTCTGGCGGGGTTGGGGGGAGCGGGTCCGGTCTCAATAACGAGGACGATCCATTTAAGAATGAGCTTTTATGGTTTATGAGGGAGGTAAACTCCCGCATGGACCAAATCCCGGGCGCGCCACTAATATTGTAAGGCCCGGATACGAAGAAGTATACTCAATTGTCGTACAAGCCGAGCACTGCAACAGAGTTGATCCCGAAATGGTTCAAAATGCCTGAAGTGCCAACATATGATGGAACTTCAGACCCTCAGGAGCATATTACCTCCTACACAACAGCGGTAATAGGAAATGACTTAGCTCCTCACGAAATTGAATCTGTGTTGTTAACTAGATTTGGAGAAACTCTCACGAGAGGAGCTCTGACGTGGTATTCGTTATTACCCGAGCATTCAATTGACTCCTTTGAGATGCTCGCGAATTCCTTTATCAAGGCTCATGCTGGGGCCAGGAAGGTACAGGCCCGAAAGGCTGATATATTCAGGATTGTGTAGGAAGAGTCCGAGTTGTTACGCGAATACATCACTCGTTTCCAGAAGGGAAGAATGTTGCTCCCGGCTGTCCCGGATGAATGGGCAGATGAAGCATTCACCAAAGGATTAAATCCGAGAAGTTCAGACGCTTCCCAAAAATTGAAGGAAAGCCTGCTCGAGTTTCAAGCAACAACTTAGGCGGATGTCCACAACCGGTACGAGTCAAAGATAAGAATCGAAAATGATCAAGTTGGCTTTTCGTCGTCACCCAAAGGACGAGAGAAGGATATAGAAAAATCAGAAGATGACTACGTCAGACGGACTTCGAGGGGACGGTTTTTGCCCTACGAGCAGACTGAAGGCCGTAGCAGAAACCTCCGAATAGCAGATAAGTTCACCGTTGACAGAAGGACTGATCGCGGTCAGAACAACAGATTGCTGCAGGACAAAGAGGTATTAGGCTCTCGAGACTCCACCTACCCTAGATTATCTGAATACAACTTCAACGTCATTATAGTGGAATTTATGTCAGCAATGAGAAACATCAAAGAGGCACGGTTCCCGAGACCAATGAGGTCCGATCCGGGACAAAGGGATCCCAATGTATGGTGTGAATACCATGGGACAAACGGCCACCGGACAGGGGACTGCCGACACCTTCGAAAAGAAGTGGCAACACTATTGATGAATGGTCACCTCAGAGAATTCTTAAGTGACCGAGCAAAAAACAACTATGGTCGGAACAGAGACAATGCGGAACCCTTGAAAGCATGAGAAGATCCCCCACGGCAAATGATCAATATGATCTTCGGAGGGACTGAGAATAATGGGGTCACCTTTTCGGCGGCAAAGAAGACAAAAGTTTCTATAACTCATAGTAAGAGGCTCCAGGAAGATGATATCACTTTCACGGAGGAAGATGCAGATGGATTGTTGCTTCCACACAATGATGCACTCGTAATTTATCTAAATGTATTAGATCTTAAGATTAAACGTATTCTGGTGGATCCAAGAAGTTCAGCTAATATAATAGAATGGAGAGTACTCAAGCAAAGCAAACTCACAGGAAGCATTATTCCGGCAACAGAGCTCCTTGCTAGATTCAACCTCGCAAGCGTGACAACTCAGGGAGAGATTTGCTGCTTACAAATGCTGAAGGAGTAATGAAGACAACTCTCTTCGAAGTTGTAGACGGAGACATGGGGTACAATATTATCCTAGGAAGGCCATGGTTACACGAGATGAAAGTTGTGCCTTCAGCATATCACCATTTGCTGAAATTTTTGATACCTGAGAGGATCAAGCATATAAGGGGTGATCAACCAGCAGCAAGGGAGATGAATGCAATCTCGGTCTCCAGTAGCAAAGGAAAGCTTCCAATTATAGCTTCTAGAAAGGCCAATTATATAGAAAATCCCTCCAAGGCCCGTTGGCCCGGTGCTTGGGTGCGTCCGAAGCTAATTACGTCATGGGAGAAGTTAATGAAGGAATATGCGGCAACCACTCGGGAGAAGATTCTTTAGTGATGAAATTATTTCGGGCAGGATATTACTGGCCCCGCATGGAACAAGACGCCAAAGACTTCGTTCGAAAGTGCGATAAGTGCCAACGTTATGCACCACTAGTACATCAACCGGCAGAACCCTTACATTCAGTTCTGTCCCCGTGGTCGTTCATGAAGTGGGGATGGAAATCGTCGGACCGCTGCCACCGGCCCTTGGAAAGGTAAGATTTCTTTTAGTTTTGACTGACTATTTCTCTAAATGGGTGGAAGTTGGTCCTTATCAGAAGATCGGAGAACGCGAAGTCGTCGACTTCCTGTGGGATAATATAATTTGCAGGTTCGGAATACCAAAAGAGATAGCATGCAATAATGGGCCGCAATTTATCGGCGCAAAAATTACAAAGTTTCTTGAAGATTTGAAAATAAAGAGGATCGCCTCTTCACCTTATAACCCGAGCTCAAACGGTCAAGCGGAGTCAACAAACAAAGTGATTATTCAGAACCTTAAGTAAAGGTTGGAAACGGCAAAAGGCAATTGGCCCAAAGAATTACCCGGAGTTCTATGGGCCTACCGAACAACTGCAAAGTCAAGCACAGGAGAGACTCATTTTCCCCTTGTGTTCTGTGCAGAATCTCTAATCCCGGTAGCAGTGGGAGAACCTACTTTGAGATACTTCCAAGCAAATGAAGAATCGAACAACGAAGTAATGCTGATCAACTTGGAGCTGATCGAAGAACGCAGGGACTTGGCGCATGTAAGAATGGCAGCTCAAAAGCAGAGAATGGAGGGATATCATAATTGAAGAGCCAATTTCTGTTATTTCAAAGTAGGAGACTTGGTTTTAAGGAAAGTAACCCAAAATACTGGGGAACTCAGTGCAGGGAAGTTGGGGCCAACGTAGGAAGGTCCCTACCGGATCTCAGCTATCACTGGAAAAGGTTCATACGAGTTAGAGAACCAAAGTGGAAACAAATTGCACACTAATTCGAACGTGGCGCACCTCAAAAGATATTATTGCTGATGGGTAATATCCAATCTGAAAGTATCTGTTGCACTCTTTTTCCTTTTGTTCAGTTTTTGTCCCAATTGGGTTTTTCTGGCAAGTTTTTTAATGAGGCAGCGATAGAAAGCATACTACGAAGACAGCAGCAATAAGACCTTTAATATCAAGGAAAATCAGCAAATTTCTACTCGGGGATGGTTGGATAGTCTTTAGCTCTATAGCAAATTCTTACTGGGAAGTTAAGCTTGCTCTTGAGCTAAGATTACCCGATTGTTCATGAGCATAAATCACTAGAGGATTGTTAAATAATATTTTGCTCGATAGCATAGATTCCTTAGGTAAAGTAAGATGTGATACCGAGTGAAGGATTATCTGGCAATCCGTTGGTGGAATCTTTGAAGGCACAAGACTTCCAGTGTTCCAATTCGCATTCTTTGCATTCAAACACTGGGGGGATGATATGAGGATACGGAATCAATAACTTCCACGTCAACTGGGAATGAAAATTTGGAAGTATAAACGTGTCATCGGGACCGGGGACTGCACAACTAGCCCTGTAGAAACAAGTTGTACAACATAGCCACAAGCAATGGCAATTTCTTTTTTCAACATAACAAATGCTTTTGTACTTTTTGAAAATAGAAGGAACTAAATGAAATGAAATCCTTTTGTTTTATCTTGTTTCTTGTCTGAATGATGAACTAACTTTGTCATTTGAAAGTTAAACAAGTAATTCAAATGCTAGTGCCGTAATGAACAGGAGACGTCCTCTTCAAGAGCACCGTAAATATAAGAGGGCCCACTCTTATAAAAATCCTCACGTTAAAGGGTTGGTTTTGGAAGAATTTATGCCCGAAATCAAAATATCTTCGGGGAAAGAATGCACCCGATGACGTATACTAAAAGACGCAAAAAGTCAACTTCTGCAAACACCTATAGAAACCCTCATATAAAAGAGATAATGCTTGGATTCAAAGTACTTCAAGTGCATCCGAAAATACGCATAGAAAAGCACAAAATGAAAACGTGCGAAAAATTCTTAAGCAAATGCAAAGATTAAAGACGTGCATGGATATTCGAACAAAAATAAGACTCAAACAATGCTTGAGCAAAGACGTGTCTTTATTTACAAAAACAAAAATGGAAAAGATACAAGAATGGGAAAAAGAAAAGGCTAAACTGCAACATCTCCATAACCAGGAGGAAGAGAAGTGTTCGCCACCAGGAGAAGTAGATGGATCCTCAGAAGGGGCAACGTAATTTTGCCCCAAATTCCCTTGAACTGGGGACTAGAGAAGAGGAATATCTCCTCCATGACCAGATGCGGCCGATGGAGATGATGTAGCAATTTCTGATGGTGATGACTTTGTTCCACGTAATGCCAGGTGGAATTTTAATAACAAGAGACTGGTTGATCCGATAAAGATAGAGCGATGGGTTGTTGTCAACTTTTCTGCACGTTGTAGAATACAAGGGCTAATCAGTGATCTTATAAAATGTGGAAAAATGAAAGAAATTATGGTGGAAGATCCATTTGATGTTTTTGAAGAGTCTCCACAATTCAGAAGGGCTCACTTGTGCCAAGCACACTTGGTAGCAAAGGCAAAACTCCGCAATCACGGAATCAAGCTCTCCGCTCAAAGGAAACGCACCCAAAGTAAAAGGATACGTGTAAAAATACGTAAAACCTTCCCTGGAAAGGGTCACTCGCTCCGATAGATCAGGAGCAATGATGTCCAACTCATGGCAGCGGCAATATTCCTTCACAGTAAGAATACTGGAAGGGCGAATTGAAGAAGGATACTTACTGACAGCCCATGAACGAGGGTTATTCTTCAATTGTTTTATTATTTCTGGATCAAATTAGTTCACTTGTCTAGAAACCACGTATAAATTCAACTGTACCATTTTATGGGTAAACACATCCTTAACCAGAGGTCTCGGGTTAGTTCGAGTCCCTAGGTATGGAGTCTCCTTTGTTAGGGAGCGCTTTACACCCCCCCCCCCCTCCCATGTGGGACTTCCCGGCACGAATCCGGATTTAATCGGGCTCCAATATAGATACCAGACACTGGGTGGGAAACCAAAAAAAAAAATACTGTAATTTCTTTTAGCATTGGAACTCCTATGGAAAATACATCGCAATAGTCACAAGTTTATTTGGTCTTGCCAAAAGATTGTAGGCAGCTTCAACTTGTCGGAGCAATGGATCATCCTCCCTTGCACCAAATCTACCGTGAGGCAAACTAGCTATAAAAGTACCTGGGCCATGCCTCTTTTGAATTTTCGTCTTTACTTTGAAGTTTCTTTCATTAGCAACAAAAAGAACACCAATGGGACTAGTTTGCTCATATAAGTCCTAGTTGTCAGTTTACAACACTCATAAATGTTGCCGGATAATGGGAAAAACACCTATCGCTAGAGGTTTGCTTCAAACACTGTACATGTCTAATTAGGACCTGTTTGACCAAAAAAGTATGGGACCTTTTTGTTAAACTAATTAAATAAGAAGATAGAGGGTAAATCCTAGTTAAGGATAATTAATTTTAGATCTGAGATGAATAACATGAATAGAAAAATATAGTTGAGTATAAATGCTAGCAGTGATTATGGCCAGATTTAATAGTATGAAAAAAGGTGCATTAAGTAACATTAAATGGAAATAAAATGTATATAAAGGAAAAGATTCACCCAATATTGAGTAAGACGGATCCTCTTTCATTTGATAATGATGAATGATAGACAAATACAAGAATTTTAGGACCCTTTTTAGATCTGATGGAGGGTATGGGATAACAGATAATTCAATCTCTTTAGAGAGATGTGTTTATATATTTTCTAGAGAGAAAGTCTGCCTTTTTTCTCCTTAGAGAAGTTCCCCTCCCTTCCTATTTATAAGGGATATCCCTAGAAAACCATAAAAAAAAGAGTACAATTAGAGGGAATATTCAGTAGAATATTCCCTTTGAAGATTCCAAAGCAAAACTAGCCGTTACTTCTATCTACACTGCTCGGCCTCGGCCTTATTGATCACTGCTCGGCTTCGGCCTTATTGATCACTGCTCGGCCTCGGCCTTATTGATCAATGCTCAGCCTCGGCCTTGTTGATCACTGCTCGACCTCGGCCTTATAGATAACTGCTCGAACTCGGCCTTATTGATCACTGCTCAACCTCGTCCTTATTGATCAGTGCTCGACCTCAGCCTTGTAGATCAGTGCTCGACCTCGACCTTATTGATCAATTCGTTTCACAGGTTACTCATGAT